TCATAGGTGGATTCAAAGCGGCCCAGCTGGGCTGCCAATCTTTTCTAGATTTTTGCAACTTATAGAAAACTAATGGAAATAAAGAAAATTGCATCCAATGTTAATTTAGAGTTTGCTGCGTCCGACCATCTGGATGTGCCTTAGGCATAATTCGTACTCATGATGGTGGGGCTGAAGTAGTCTTGCCCTCCATCTATACAATTTCCTCCCTGAAAAACATGTAAACAAAGTATATTGGTGCTTCTTAATTGCTTGCAAAAAATAAATTGAAAGTGACATTGATAATTGATCATTGTTAATTTGTGGTTACCCAATTTAAACTACTACACAAAAACACAATGCCCATTGTTAATACCCACCAGTCAAGGTTATTTTCAATTTGTTTTGCATATTGTTATTTGCTATACCATGCTTAGGTAGTGCAGGTAGTTGATCTAGCAACCTAGTCGTATGGGACCCTTGATGTATTCTATACATATTATATAGAAGAAAAACATACAATTTTGTAGAACTATTCTTGAAAAAATGTTGTATCCTCAATACCCTAGAATATCTCATAGCAAATGAGACCTGTGTTGAAAAGTACAAGTGTTAAAGTCATTGGCTATACACTATTCCCAATTTTTATTCAACTTTCGTAATGTTAGGTTCAGTTTTGTTCATGTTAATTTTATTTTATTTACAGGTACACACCACTCGGCTCAGCCAAAAATGTGAAAGATGTTGAGGACGTAGATAAACAAGTTCCTGAGACGAAATCAGAAGTTATCGACTACTTTGATATGACATAAAAGTGAAAGAAAAATGCAAAAAATGTATTATCTGTTATGTGGCTATTTCGTGTTTCTCATTTACTTAAATCAAAAATGATCTTTAATAGAATTATTCGTTGGTTATGTATTCTTTGCGATGCCAATTAATCTGTATCAAAAATATAAAATTCTAGAGTATACAAAATTTGTTGATAATAATCTGTAGCTACTTTTAAGTTATTAAGTATACATTGGAAAACATAATTTATAATATAAAGATTTGCAACCGAAAGTGTCTTAAATCTCTGTTTCCTTTAAATTAACAATCTTTATGTGACCTTTAGATACTGTTATGCACTGGTGGCTCAAGAAATTTGCGGACAGGGGGCCCGACATGGCCGACTGGGGTCCGAACCACTAGAGCCTCAGTCAGGTTCCCAGAATAAATCTCTGGGTAGGGTTCATAGGTAGATTTTTAATGGCTTATCCTAAATTGTGCTTTTTGACCACAGTACAGTATTAGGGATTGGCAATCAAAATAACATTATTTGGAGAGGCAAATTATTATTTTTGATTCAATGACCTAGCTGAAGAACGGGGGTTCAGGCCTGTCCAACAGGGGAATTGCCATCCCCCGCTGGCACCACCGGTACTGTTATGTAAAGATGTTTTGTTTTTTTTGTGCATGTGCCTTACTTTAGCCTTAAAATGTGTCACCACTTCCATTCAGTAATCAGCACTGTTGATAATAATGAAATATATTAATTCAAAGAAATACAATTTAATTTTACATTGCTTCTAAAAGAAAAAAAAAATGGGTTCAATAATGATTTACATTTGAATTTATGCAACATTTTAAAGATGAACTGCCACCGAAAGAAAAACCTAAAATGTCCTCGAAACTACAGTAGGACTGGATTATTTAGAAACTAAATTTACCAACTTTCAATAAGTCACTGATCGTTTTCAGGCATTTTACTACGAACATCCTTAAATTTGTTGGTATATGACTAAGAAAATATTTAAACATCTATCTGTTAATTGGTGTGGGAAGTTTATCTTCTAATTTTTAGTTGAAAGCTTTGAACGTATTGAAATATACAAACTAAGCAATTAAATTCTTTTTTTTTTATTTCAAATTTTTAAATTTACATGACAGTATATTTAAAAAAAATATTAGAATGATGATTATTATTAGTGAAGAAAGTAGAGTAATCATGGTTTATGATATTATTTTTAGAGATGAGCAATTAAAATATCAGACCCTGCAAACAATAAGTTGTAATTGTTTATTGTTAAGCCAGATGTTGTTTATGTTAACTGCAATTTCGTTTAACAGGTTAACAATCTGTTTACAATTTAAGTAATCAAACGTACCGTATTGAATTTTGCAAGTGAACTACTTTCTGTTGAGGTATAAATTATAGATCAATGGCCGTATTCGACAGGGGTGGCGCCATTACTTGCCCGACGGGGGGCCGAGGTCCCCGACGAGGGGTGCCGATGCCCCGACGAGGTGTCAGATTTTCCCCGACGAAAGTAAGGTCGGCGTGGTCAAGCTTCGATTAAAAGGTCTCGAAAGTGGTCCTTCGGGTGAAGCCCCCGAAAATTTTGACAATTTATGGGTTTCAAAGGCTTATTTAATCGATTTTATAGTCTACTAATATGTAGAAAATACATATAATTTGTTTTTCTCCCTGACGAATTGTGCTTTTTCTCCCCGACGGGCCCCCCCCCCCGGCTCCACCCCTGGTATTCGACTGGTCGTTCTATGTTAACCACGCCCACCTGCGCAGTGGTAAAATCTTACTTAACGAAGACGACCAGTCGAATAGAAAATTGGTAAATACTCAACAAAACAAAATGGCTGAATAGTTACCGCGATACACGCTGCGTAATCAAGGATGCTTCAGATTTTGGCACTATGGGTTTTTCATTAAAAAAAATGTTTTCATCCAGTTCTTGAATTCTGTTCGCCTACAATTATTTTGTGACTTCAATGTGGGTAAATATTATAATTTTTATTTTCCGAAATTTAATCTAAGTTAGATTGAAGTTATATGAACGCAAATGTTGTTGCAAACAGACCAATCGGCCATATTTTTTTTTGTTCACGTGCGTAACTTAACGCTGATTAACGCATTCTGGTTACGTTAATTTTCGTTGTCAACGAAGTCTATTTTACGAACCAGTCTAATGAAAATAATACTCAACGAAAATTCGTACTCAACGAAATGAACCAGTCGAATAAGCCCTATGATATAATTGGTTTACGTACGCACATGTTCTTGATTTTCGCTCGAGGTTTGCTTCACTGGTTTATTAGGTGACAAATTTAACACATATTTGCTGCCGGTTATCTCATCGTATTTTAGTATTTCTCAACGTCACTCACCCAGAAATTATAATGCCGTCATTATCAAAATAGTTGGCAAAAGCTAATCAGCAATGTTAATGTCATCATGATTATCTTCGTCTTGACTAACAGAAATGAATAGACTTTCACTCCATATCGTGAGCAGCAAACATCCCCATATTTGATGCAGAAATGATTAACAATCGTCCTCTTACATATTAAATAACTCACCCCAGGGGCAGATCCAGGATTTTTCAAACGGAGGGGGAGGCACACAACATATTGAGAATAGATAAGTGAGAGCGCTAATTTCAGTATATGCCTTGAAATTTAAAAAATGTAGTGGCAAAACAAGTCAATCACAATCACAAATCAATTTATTCAATCCAACAAAATATTACAAACAAAAAGTATAAAAGAAAATTTAAATTGAAGGATTTGGGAGGCTCTCATTAAGACCACAGGTCGCAAGCATGAGACCACCTAGTAAATTTTAATAGTTAATAAAAAATTTGAAAAGAAAACAGAAAAATTATACGCACTTTCTTTTTCATTTTATGTTCAAAAAAGTAATATAAAGATTTTCTCTTCAAGGAAAAAAATTATAGCATATTTTAATTTTCCATTAATTTAATGAACAACTTAATCAAAATAGAAATTTTCTTTAATGGTATATGCATACATATAATATAAACAAAGACACACAAACATACATATATATATATATATATATA